GGTTTTTGTACCCTATTTTTTTCTGTTTCTTCGTGGGGTCGTGTATGCCGGGTTTTGAGACCACGGGCTCCCAATCTTTCTTTTTTAGAGCTAATGTGAGAAACAACAACAACAACAACATCAATTCTTCCCGACACACCCCTACCCCTACCCCCAACCCACCTTCAACCCCCTCTCACCCAGCCCCCACCTTCTAGCCCAACATTATAACGAAAAGCACCCCCATATTACAGCAAAAAAAAACGCATCGCGCGAAATCTGAAGAGAAACTCCCAAGTCCAACCTCCCCACAAACCAACAATAAATTTGATATGATATAACCGTTGGCACTACCTCGAACCGGTGGGTGCGCCCCTTCCATCGCGTCGTTTGCGCGGGCTGGATCCCCTTCCAGATAGCGCCCCAATGCGAGTGCAAAGGGCGATTTCTGAACATCATCCAAAATGGCGCGCAGGGACGATTGAAACGTGTGCGATATCCACACCCCTTCCTGTTGGATTGGCCACGACGACAACCCGATCGCCCCTAACCGAGTTGCACCCCTTATTCTCCCAGAAAGCGGCGCGTAGTCCTCCGGTTTCAAACCTTGGCCCGCCACGAGGCCCCGCAATGCGGTCGACGATTGATCACACGTCCAGACCTTTCAATACTGACCACAAGGATAAACGGCAAAAAAAGGTGCCATCTCATCAAGCTGCGGATAGCAGCGCATCAGTTCAAGCAAAACTTCGAACTTGCCGATGCCCATCATATCGCCGGTATATCACCGGTCCTATCCTACTCCCAATCGAACTTGGCCAACCCAGGGCATGCCTTCACGCGCGACACCACTGGTTCGTCCTGGCCTCCTGTCGACGCCTCGAAGAGCACCTCTAATCTATCCGCACAACGCCAAAGTACCGGGGTAAACAGCTGCAGCTCCCCTTTCCATAACGCCACATTGCCTCGCGTAATTCCGAACCCCTTGTGAATCTCACAGTAAATATACGCGAAGATTTCCGATGGGCGGCACATGAAAAATAGGATACAGCCGGGCCTGGGCAAACCCTCACCCCATGCGGCGGCCGTTCGAATGCCGTTCCGTAGATAGGTCTGCGAAACGTGCCGTCTCATCCTTCCGACGGTGTGCTCACTTGCTCTCCCTCGACGAATCCGCTTTGACGGCCCGCACAAAATTATGCCTCATATGAAGGTCCATCATGATGCCTTTGTGTCAAAATTTGCCGCGACGAACTTCCTCGTGATCTGGACATTTTTTTACTTAAACAAAGAACAGGTACGCCATGTGATTCGCCAACTCGTTTCCCGGATCTTCTTTCCCCGCCGCTGCATCCAAGTAGACACTTTTACCCACGCATACCGTTCTCCATTGTACCCACAGTTTTACCGGCAACTGCTTGTGCAATGATAGCTATACAACGGCGTGTAAATAGCCAACAATTGTAACGGTTACGCCCCTGACAATCACATCGGCGTGTGTACCGCAGTGACAGACACCGGAAATATCACCGACCGTCGCGAGCACATCGCCGTAAGCTTTGTGCAGAGTCTGCTGCGGGCAAAGAATCAACCTGCCTTGTAGAGAGTTCGTCCTGACTCGCGAGCATAGCGGCGTGTGCCACAGGCAGAGTCTGCTGCCGGCCAAACATCAGCGTGTCTTGCAGGGAATTCGTCATGAGGCAACTGCTTGTCCAATGACAGCAATACAACGGCGCGAAACAGCCAACAACTGTAACGGTGAGACCCCTAACAACAACATCGGCGTGTGTACCGCAGTCACAGACATCGCAGATTCTCCCGACGGTCGAGAGCACATCGGCGTATGCTATAAGCGGAGTCTGCTGCCGGTAAAACATCAACGGGGTTCGCAGGGAGTTCGTCTTGACTCGCGAGCATACCGGCGAATGCTACAGGCAGAGTCTGCTGCCGGCCAAACATCAGCGTGTCTTGCAGGGACTTTGTCATGAGGCAACTGCTTGTGCAATGACAGCTATACAACGGCGTGAAACAGGCAACAATTGTAACGGTGAGGCCCAACAACATCGGCGTGTGTACCCAGTGCCACACACCGGAAATTCTACCGACGGTCGAGAGCACATCGGCGTATGCTCTAAGCAGAGTCTGCTGCTTGCAAAACATCAACGTGCCTTGCAGGGACTTCGTCCTGACTCAACTGCTTGTGCAATGACTGCAATACAACGGCGAAAAACAGCCAGCAATTGTAACGGTGAGGCCCCTGAAAACAACATCGGCGTGTGTACCGCAGTGACAGACCTCGGAAATTCTTCCGACGGTCGAGAGCACATCGGCGTATGCTATAAGCGGAGTCTGCTGCGGGTAAAACATCAACGGGGTTTGCAGGGAGTTCGTCTTGACTCGCGAGCATACCGGCGAATGCTACAGGCAGAGTCTGCTGCCGGCCAAACATCAGCGTGTCTTGCAGGGACTTTGTCATGAGGCAACTGCTTGTCCAATGACAGCAATAGAACGGCGCGAAACAGTCAACAACTGTAACGGTGACACCCCTAACAGCAACATCGGCGTGTGTACCGCAGTCACAGACACCGCAAATTCTCCCGACGGTCGAGAGCACATCGGCGTATGCTATAAGCGGAGTCTGCTGCGGGTAAAACATCAACGGGGTTTGCAGGGAGTTCGTCTTGACTCGCGAGCATACCGGCGAATGCTACAGGCAGAGTCTGCTGCCGGCCAAACATCAGCGTGTCTTGCAGGGACTTTGTCATGAGGCAACTGCTTGTCCAATGACAGCAATAGAACGGCGCGAAACAGTCAACAACTGTAACGGTGACACCCCTAACAGCAACATCGGCGTGTGTACCGCAGTCACAGACACCGCAAATTCTCCCGACGGTCGAGAGCACATCGGCGTATGCTATAAGCGGAGTCTGCTGCCGGTAAAACATCAACGGGGTTCGCAGGGAGTTCGTCTTGACTCGCGAGCATACCGGCGAATGCTACAGGCAGAGTCTGCTGCCGGCCAAACATCAGCGTGTCTTGCAGGGACTTTGTCATGAGGCAACTGCTTGTGCAATGACAGCTATACAACGGCGTGAAACAGGCAACAATTGTAACGGTGAGGCCCAACAACATCGGCGTGTGTACCGCAGTGACACACACCGGAAGATCTACCGACGGTCGAGAGCACATCGGCGTATGCTCTAAGCAGAGTCTGCTGCTTGCAAAACATCAACGTGCCTTGCAGGGACTTCGTCCTGACTCAACTGCTTGTGCAATGACAGCAATACAACGGCGAAAAACAGCCAGCAATTGTAACGGTGAGGCCCCTGAAAACAACATCGGCGTGTGTACCGCAGTGACAGACCTCGGAAATTCTTCCGACGGTCGAGAGCACATCGGCGTATGCTATAAGCAGAGTCTGCTGCGGGTAAAACATCAACGGGGTTTGCAGGGAGTTCGTCTTGACTCGCGAGCATACCGGCGAATGCTACAGGCAGAGTCTGCTGCCGGCCAAACATCAGCGTGTCTTGCAGGGACTTTGTCATGAGGCAACTGCTTGTGCAATGACAGCTATACAACGGCGTGAAACAGGCAACAATTGTAACGGTGAGGCCCAACAACATCGGCGTGTGTACCCAGTGCCACACACCGGAAATTCTACCGACGGTCGAGAGCACATCGGCGTATGCTCTAAGCAGAGTCTGCTGCTTGCAAAACATCAACGTGCCTTGCAGGGACTTCGTCCTGACTCGCGAGCATAGCACCGTATGCTACAGGCAGAGTCTGCTGCCGGCCAAACATCAGCGTGTCTTGCAGGGACTTCGTCATGAGGCAACTGCTTGT